GGGACGAAATTTGCCCTTATTTATATAACTCAGGGACGAAAAGTACAACGTCAATAATAACTTAGGGATAAAAAGTGAACATGACCAACACTTAGGGACGAATCCTACAATTACCTTATAACTTAGGGACAAAATGTGCAACGCCAATAATAACTTAGGGATGAAAAGTGAGCATGACAAACACTTAGGGACGAATTATGCAATTATCTTATAACTTAGGGACGAAAATTACAATTTTCCCTTCTTCTTCTTCTTCTTCTTCTTCTTCTTCTTCTTCTTCTTCTTCTTCTTCTTCTTCTTCTTCTTCTTCTTCTTCTTCTTCTTCTTCTTCTTCTTATTATTATTATTATTATTATTATTATTATTATTATTATTATTATTATTATATCTTCTTCTTCTTATTATTATTATTATTATTATTATTATTATTATTATTATTATTATTATTATTATTATTATTATTATTATTATTATTATTATTATTATTATTATTATTATTATTATTATTATTATTATATAACAAATAACACCACAACCACTACACCACCACCACCACCATAATATTTTTGATATATTATTAGTTATTTTTTATTATATTTAAATTATTATTATATTATTATATATTATTATACATGTTATAATATTCTAAATAAAATAATTAAAATGTTTAATTATACAATTCAACTCATTTTCCAGAAAATGAACCAAACACACAAAAATAGTTTTCCAGAATGCAACCAAACACTGGAAAAGAAAACGTTTTCCGGAAAATGACTCATTTTCTAGAAAACATTTTCCAGAAGTGATTTTCTTGCTTTCCAAACGGACCCTTAATGTAAGTAGTTGTTGAAACTTAAGGTGCATAAGTTTTGTGCTTAAGGTGTGTGAGTTTTATACTTAAGATGTGTGAGTCTTGTGCTTAAGGTGCGTAAGTTTTGTGCTTAAGGTGCGTGAGTTTTGTGCTTAAGGTACGTGAGGGTTGTGCTTAAGATGCGTGAGTTTTGTGTTTAAGGTGCGTGATTTTTGTGCTTAAGGTGCGTCAGTTCTTCAGTTGAGAACTTAATGTGCGTTTTTTTTTTTTTTTTGTTGAAATTTAAGGTGTGTCGGTCTAAAACTTTAAGTGCGAGGTTTTTCTTCTTAAGGTGCGCGGTTTTTGTGGTTAAGGTGCGTCAGTTCTTCATTGGAGAACTTAATATGTGTTTTTTGTTGAAACTTAAGGTGCGTCATTCTAAACCTTTAGGTGCGTCTTTCCGTAGCTTAAGGTGCATCCTTGTAACATTTAAGGTACGCCATTTTTATAAACTGAAGGTGCGCGATCTTAAGACTTAAGGTGAGCTATTTTTATAAACTGAAGGTGCTCGATGTTAAGACTTAAGGTGCGTCATTTTAACACTTAAGGTGCATCTTTCTAAAACTTAAAGTGCGCCATTTCTAGTTGTTGCTTCTTACTTCCAGATAGGGATGGCAATGTGCCCCGTCCCCGATTGGGATCCCCGATCCCCGCTCCCGACAGGGACGGGGATGAGAAAATTTTTTGAGAAACATGGACGGGGACGAGGAATGTATGTAATTCCCCGTCGAGGACGAGGACGAGATACCCCTCAACACCCCTCCCCGTCCCCGAATAATTATTATAATTATAAATAAATAAATATAAATAAACAAATATACAATTAAAACTTAAGTTTTTAATTTTTAAAATTAAAAATTACACTAATTTAAGATTTTGACTAAAAGTTGACTGGGAAAGTTTCCCGTCCCCGCTAAATTTCCCATGTAGATGAGGATGTGGACTATTTTCAATTCCCTGCCGTGGATGGGGATGGGGTCGAGGTTTCAGACTCCCCGCCCCCGCCCCGCCCCATTGCCATCCCTACTTCTAGAGATGCATTTAAAAAAAAAATCATTGATTTGAGCCGTTAATCTAAATTTGATGAACGGCTCATACGTAATTGCATGTTCGCACTTGAAACCTCCTTCATATCTGATCTCAATCCTCTCTCTCTCTCTCTCTCTCTATATATATATATATATATATATATATATATATATATATCCTAAAGCCCTTTAAATAATACAAACACGCAACAAATACAAATGAACAAAGGAAATGTATTTGGTCCAAGGGCCCAAGTAATACCATGTAAATAATGTAAGAAGCTAGAACGCCTCTTAGTACATATAAGATGAAAGAATACACTGGTTACCTATGTCATCCTATCTTTAGGACTATGTTAGCGCATTTATAATAGTGAAGTTTTTTTGTAATTTTTTAAGAGTTTTTGTAAGTGTAATTAGAAAATAGAAGAGAGAAAGAAAAAAAAAAAAAAAAAAAAAAAAAAAAAAAAACTCTTAAGATGCATTGTCATCCCTACTTCTAGAGATGCATTTAAAAAAAAACTGATCCGTCACTTATAAAAATAAAAAAAATAAAAATAATAAAAAAGATTCTTAACTCGTCAGTCGAAGCGTGCACTGCACGCGCCCGGCTGGACTTTGCTGTGCGCGAAATGCGCACAGTTTCTCTTGTTTCTCTAATCAAAACACTATTCCAAAAACTTTTTGTGTAGAGGGAACTATTTTTTCTCTCTCCACCATGTCACCACTCATTGTTCTAAAAATCACTAAATATGCACTCATAATGGCGCTCTTATTCTACCCTAATAGGTTTAAAGGTGTAATTCTCTCGACCCAAGGCTCGATAGGATAGTAGATGACTAAATCACGATGATTAAATGGCCCATTGTATGTAACTCACACATTACGGTCAAATGACCTATTGCGTGTAGCTTACACACTATAACTATTAGGTCTTAATCCAGTATTTTTACCCATAACCTACCACCAAAGAACCAATAGAGTTGATGGTGTGCGCATGCCAAACTCATATTTAGGCCTTAAAAGGTTTATTGACAGGCTCAATCTTTAAGGGGGGTGTATTCAATCATGACTTTCATAGAGTTTTAAAGACTTTTATGAACTTTAAAAGTTCGGGGGTATTCAATTCAAACTTTTAGAGAGTCTTTAAAAATCAGGCGGTATTCAATCAAGATTTTTAAAGAGTCTTTAAAAGTCGTATGGTATTCGATTAAGATTTTTAGAGAGTCTTTAAAAGTCACGTGGTATTCAAAAAGTTATGAACTTTTGTAGACTTTTTAATTTTATGACTTTTGTAGACTTTTTCTTCTCAAATATAAATAGTTGAAATCCAACCATCAACCCTCAGATTTCAAAATTTTATTTCTAATAACTTTGAATGTTTTCTCTCTCTATTTAAACTCTATTTTTTCTCCCAATTTAAACTTTATAAACCTATCTAAATTTAATAAAATTATTTTTTTCTTCACTATCCTATATTTTCCTCATACCTAAACTCTACCAATTTCTCTCTCTCTCCTAAACTTTACAATCTTCCTCTAAAAATTCGAAAAAATATTATTTTTACTTTATATTGATTTTTATTTTTTCTATAAATTTTTTAAGCAAATTTTTCATCATCAAATTTTTGTATATGTTTCATAATATTCATATAAGTACTTATATATTTTGATTTTTATTCTTTTTATGTTTATATTCGTAATATATATTTTCCCTTTTTTTAACAACAAGTTACTACAAATAGCGAACTACTGTTCGCAACAACAATTTGGGGTTGCAATCACAGTCTCAAATAGTTTTTTGCGTGATGCCTAGCAATATATAAAGTATATATATATATATATATATATATATATATATATATATTAGATTTTTATTTTTTTTAATTTTATGCAACTTGTAATTATATTTTTAAATATTTTATTTGATCAATTCTTTTATTATAAATTTTATTATTCAATATTGTTATGAATTTCTAATGAAATAATTTTTTTTATGTTTATTAATAATATATATAAGTAATTAGCATATAAGTCTCAACATACTATGGATAAAAATAATAATGTTGAGAATGTTGTTATGGGTGAAGAACTACATAATAAGAAAATTTTATGATATATTATAAATGTTTTGTAAGAAAATTATAAATGATAAGAATCAAAATCATTGAAAATTTGTAAGGATGTATTCAATTTAGAATTTCAATGACTTTTGTAGACTTTTTAAAATAAAAAGTTGATAAAAGTCTATGAATGTTTTTTATATAGACTTTTATAGAGTCTTATAAAGTTTTAAAAAGTTTTGAACGACTCTATGAAAGTCAATCAACGTTTATTAAAATCTATCATTTTAAAAGTCTTTAAAACTTTACAAAAGTCATGATTGAATACACCCCCTAAGTTCCGTTCAAACTTGATTTGTAAAAACGTGTCCAACTTTAATTTCTTTCACCCCTAGTTTTAAATTATAACGAGAACGGGTATATTTTTGGGTGAAACACGATTTTTATTTATCTAATTCTCTTTCTTTAATTATGGCATGTTTGGTTCATGGAATAGGTTAAGAATGAAATACAATTTCTGGGAATAGACCTATCCCATTGTTTGTTGTCTTTTTATTCAAGGGAATAGCGTCTCGGGAATGAGCTATTCCCTTTGCAGGGGGGATAGCCATTCCTAGGGGACCCACTAGTATTAGCTATTCCCAAGTATTTGAAAATTGCTTTAGTACTATAATACTGAAAATACTCTACCACCACCACCATTGTTACCACCGCCGTCTCCACCACCACCACAATCGCTACCATCTCCACCACCACCTCCACCGTCGCCACTGCTACCACCGCCACCACCACCGCTACCACTACCGCCACCACTATCACTGCCAACACCAACACATATTTTTATAAGGGTATTTATGTCTTTTGAAACATATTTCATTCTATTCTTTAAACCAATCAAACACTGTAATAGAAGTCTTAAAGTCTAGTCCTTCCGCAAACCAAACAATAGAATACAATTCTTATTTTATTCCTTGCCTATTCCATTCTTTATGGAATAACATTCTTATTACCTCAAAATTCATTTTGTGAACCAAACTTGCCGTTAAAGTTAAAGATAAAATGGATGTTTTACTCGGTGAGTAATTATTTTCCATTCAACCTAACAAATATTTTCTTGATACTCTTAAATACCTGGTCGGGAAGACGCGGAACTGAAAAACCTTTGTAGGAAAAAGGAGATGAAGATCTTGGGGAAGCGAATATTTCCAAGACAACTCCTGCTTTTAGCTTCTGGGTATGTATATACTTCAATTCTTCGATCTTGCAATATAATCCTGCTCTTATTAGTCTTCTCCTTCATCGATGACTGAATATTTGGATGCAAACATGATGATCATAGGATCCTGTTCCTGGGTTCGACAACGTACGACGTTCACAGATCGATAAAGCAAAATGAAACGCCGCCGACGGCAGAGCAACTCCGGGAACTCGAACACTACCTCAGCTCTGTTCGCCGTCCTCCTCCTAACTCATGACTCCATCTACACGGTTCAAAATTGGCCACGTATGCTGTATTATATTTCTTCTTTTTAATTTTATAACAACCATTTTGTATTTTCTTTTAATATATATTATTACTATAATAATGCGTTTGGAATTTGAGTTTTGAAGACTCCCAACTCTTCACATTAGTTAGCTTTATTACTCACTATCCACATTGGTAGAAGTAGAACCAATTTTCCTTTTAACTCATCACTAATAGCCACCACTACCACAGAAATAAAAGAACACAAAACCACTTGAGACCACACATTTATTATTTTATATATATTATCTTCAACACTCCTCTTTGTGAAAATTCATCATGTAATAAAGATTAAAACTATGGTGTAAAAAAGACTTACTGCTTTTTAGAACAATTTCACCGGTACTGTTAGGATCGATACGGTTCACAACACCTAATCATAATAGTAATTTGGACTAGAAATATTGAGAATATTTCTAGTGTAAGATTTAAAATAAATCATACACAGAATAAGGCAATTTAAAGAAGAATTTTCTATATAGGCAAAAGAATATTACAATAGGAATTACAAATATAACTCTCTATTTTTACTCTAAAGAATTTGCTATGCTAGCTACCGAAATGTGATGGGATAAATGAATGAATAAATGTTGTCTATTTATAGCAATTCATGTGTCTAGAGATTTCCAAACATTTAATCCAACATTAAATGCAATTCTTCTCCTAAAAGTAAAAACCTTAGCCCAAACTTTTCCCCTCACTCAAACTTATGCCCAAACTTTTCCCTCTAGGAGAAACCTATGCCGAAGCTTTTCCCTTTATAGGAGAAACCTTTGCCCAAGCATTTCCCTTACTCAAACCTCTGCCCAAGTAATTCCCTTCTCAAACCTGCTATGCACAAGCAATTATACATTTGACTTTATTATTTACAGGTACTTAGGTGCAAGGCATAAAGAACGATGTTATTTTTCAAAGTTACACAGCTATTTTGTAATACCGTGCACTTGTTAACTACAGTTAGAACGCACTAAACACTGCTCAGATATAAAAATACAAAAGAGGAAAGGATCGGAGGAGAAGAATGAAAACTTATATATGGAGTATGTTTTTTGGATGATTTATAAATGGTAAAGAGGGATGGTATTTATAGTAACTCTAGGTGAATAAAAACCATGGTTAAATCACCCCATCCACAAATTTTGGAGAAAGGATCCTAGCCCTGGGAAATGTCAAGTTCAAAAACAGCTATAAAAAGTAACGAACTGTTAAAATAAAAACATAATGGAGAGAAAAGAGAGAAAAGGGAATATCTTATTCATCATCTCTTATTATATCCTTATACATCATATATATAATCTATACAAAATGACTGTTATAACAGTTACAAATCAAGTAATCAATGCCATAATAATGTCCATAAATAAAGATTTATAACACTCCCCCTTGGACATTATAACACCACGATCTTGCCTCATTAAAAACTTGCTAGGAAAACCCTGTGGGAAAAACCTAAACAAGAAAAGAGTACAAGGTATATGGATAGCATACATTCATGCCTCATTAAAAACTTCACTAGGAAAACCACGTGGGAAAAACCTAGTTGAAGAAAAGAGTACATGATATATGTAAAAACATATATTGTATTTGGTCGCCTCATTAAAAACCTTAACTTAAGAAAACCCTGTGGGAAAAACTTAGTTAAGGGAAAAAGAGTACAACCATAAGCCTTCAGGGCGCAAACTACATAATCTTCGGGATTTTGGGGTTTGTCCATTTAAGCAATTATTTTTCAACTTTTCCCCATTGTCATTACTATATCATACTCATGCCTCGTTAAAAACCACACTAGAAAACCCAATGGGAGAAAACTAGTGAGGAAAAGAGTACATGATATTTATGTATTTATGTGTTGCAAATAGTGCGCAACTGTTAGTCTTTTATGACTTAATCTTCAGGATTTTACGTTCAATCTTCCGGATTGTTTCAAGTAATGTACTTCCCGTTGTGTTGCAAATAGTGCGGAACTGTTAGTCTTTTATGACTTAATTTTCAAGATTTTACGTTCAATCTTCCGGATTGATTCGAGTAAATGTACTTCTCGTCTCCCCCTGAAGATAACAATCTTCAAGTTCTACATATATTTCAAAATTTGAAGAGATGGATTGGACAAATCTTCTAGATTGTCACTAGAGTAAATATCTAATAATCTTATGGCTCTTCTAGAGCTCATATAACATTTGTGCAACACAAGTATTATTGTCCTCATTTTGAACATTTAGAGAAGTTCATTGTATAACCAGTTTGGACTTGGCATTGCGGGGATCAAGCAAAACAGCCAGTACCCAAGTAGCCTATTAAAACCGTATCATGGTTTCTTACATAAATGTCATGTCTTTGTATCTCAAAGATACCAAAGGATATGCTAATCATTATTCAAGTACTTCATTTGTAGGGGGAGCACTAGATTTTGCTAGCAATTTTATCGCAAATATGTTATGGTTATAGAACTTCTGGTTCAATAATGGTGCTCCAACGATAATGAAGTAAAGGACTTCTAGTCCAAAAAGGTTCCTTATCTGCTTCAAGAGATTATTATGCAACCTTTAGTTTGATAAAAACATGACACTTATATGCATATAGACATGTGAAAAAAACATTTTTAGATGTAGGCTGACTGGTATATATATATATATATATATATATATATATATATATATATATATATATATATATATATAAATCTTCAAAGAAAACTCGATCTTCAAGTCGAGATAATACTTATAGCTTTCACAAGCTTTTTATTTCAAAAGTCTCAGTCTTTAAACATGAACTGACATTATCGAGTTCTTTATATATTTCATTGATGTTTACACCATCAATCTTGACTGAGATAATAAGTTCATTATCAACCCTTTATCGAGCACACAATGGTACATATTATTCCTTCAATGAGGATATTAACTCCATTCGCAACCCTTTAAAGAGTAAATAATGACACATAATAATACTTAAAAATCCTCATTTTGAGAATTATGAATCCATCAGGGATTTCTCAAGATAAATTTAACTGCATATCTGAATTTATTATTCTGCCAATTGTATTATGTAGCGGAACTTAATGCCATTTACCGTGGGAGAGTATATTTGATGAAAATAAATTAAGGGTCTCTGCGTGAACCCATAGGCTACAAACTCGCTTCATCACCTCATTATTCTTATTTCTCTTTCATGCACACACCCATTTATAACCTTCAGGGTTAACGCTCAAATGGTGTATTGTTATAAAGAGAATTTATTCATTTTAGCGAGTCAAGCTATGCCTTAATTGCTCCTTTATATATTAAATAGTCATGGCACTTCTGGTGCCTAAATCTGGATCCAGATTATATAACGAGCAATTTGTAATGGCAATTGTGTTGTCGACAACTATAACCTTTTTGTAAAACTCCCATATTTGTAAAAGTAATGGCAATTTCTAAAACAACCAGATTCTAAACATTTCCCAAAGATATTTTGATTTGGTCGTTCCGCATCCCTAGTATTACGTTTGTTTGGTGCACCTATAAGTCTTACCAGGGTTTTTCGTCATCTGGACGAACGTCTGCAGGACATAATTATTCAAGCTATTTCAAGAGTGACAATATTTCTTTACTAGATCTAGTATTATGATCCATATCTCTTTCACCGATAGATCTCCTACACTTCTAGTGTCAAGGAGTATCAATAGATATGTTTGGTCCAAGGATATAGGACCTAGTCACTTCTTTTATAATCATTATGATCAATAGATGTATTTGGCAGATTATTTGCTAAAATCGCAAATAGATTATCTTTTGAACTTCCAGTTCAATCTAACTAGTACATGGATTTAAATAATGAAGATGTTTTTATTCTTATGAAATTTCTTGGCATTCCAAAAAGCTACGGAGTAGTATATTATCTCCCCCTAATGCCGAGAAACAATCTTCATTAGGAATGCAGTCAACGTACCCAATTATATGTATTGATCCCCTATCATGGGCTTTCGGTATTTAATCAATAGACGGGGGTTTCTTTGATAGCCCTTTTAGAGGTACGTTGTGGTGGTGATATAAAATAGACTGCGCAAATAAAATAACGCAGATAGGGAAATGTTACTTCTGAAACCACGTACTAGGTGAAAAAGGGGGTATAGCAATCCTTGAGGGATTGATTTGTGATATGCATTGAGTTAGACTTGGGTAAAAAGAACTTGACTCATAGTAACGTCATAGCAATCCTTCGGGGATTGATGGGATAGGTGGACCATTATTTGTCATGAATTTATCGTCAAGGTCCATCCTAAAGGGTGACTTAGAGAATTAAAGTCCTTAATCTACCTTCTGGGCAAATAAAAAAAATGAGGGCTATAAATTTAAATATCATATGCCCAAAACTCATGTCAAAGAGTTTCTATAGCAGAAACTAGCACTGTAAACATGTCATAGTCTTTAATTGTTACCACATGCAAGTTAAGGTTTAGCAACGACAGGTGCAACCTAACCATATTGAGAATTCATGCTATTTTCCCACTTATAAGCTGGGTGATAAATCTCAATAGCTATGACCTATAGCACATCATAAAATTCCAACAAGAGAAATAACAAAATCTCTTATATAAACATAATCAAGAGATTATATGCTAAATGATGTCAATTAAAGAGAAGCACATGCAATATGTGATATATTTGTCCCTTATGTCTTGGACACCAAAAACTCTATTTAGTCATGCACATCATATTTGGTACACACAAGGCATGACATGACAAGAGATATTCTTATTAATTCATAAATTAGAAAAATGAGAGAAGTACCGTTCGCCGAAGAATAATGAGCACATGTTTGCTGCCAGACCCATTCATTCCTATTTTGGGAGTCAAAAACAGTACTTTTCCAAGCAAGCTCTCATTTTATCTCATAGTTTCATACAAGCATGAAAACATCACAAAATAGCAAGATATACAAGCTGAAAACGGCAAAAATTTTCAGAATTGTGACCTGGATTTCAGAATTTTCTTGGGGAAAAATGGTAACACATTTTGGCACAAAATTTTACAGATATGTAGTTCATCAAGTATAGAACGTACACGAAAATTTTCATGCCAATCCAAGGTCTAAAAGTATTATTCCCGAATTTTTTT